ATATCCTGCCCTGAACAGACCCCCTGCCCCCCCCGCCACGGTCCCCTGCAGCAAACTGCCAAGCTGGGCGCGTGCAGTGACCCCGCGCATCTTCTACATCACGGAGAAGGCCTGGAACTACTACCCCTACACCATCACTGGTGAGCCCCGGGCAGGGCAGGGGGACAGGCACCCCGGCACTGCTGGCACCCTGCCCCTTTGGTGGCAGTGGGCTGCCGGGAGAGCCTGGCCATGGCCCCTCCCAGTCTCACCGTCCCTCTCTCCCCCACAATGCCACCCGGTGATGCTGGTGTGCCACGGTGTCCCTGCAGAGTACACGGTAAGAAGGTGGTGTGGGGACCCCTGGCCCCTTCCCCTGTACCTGGCATGGCTGGGGTACTGGGGTGGGTGTTCCCTGAGGGTGGGTGTCCCTTGGGGTCAGCATCTTCAGGGGTGGGTGTCCCTTGGGTGTCCCTCAGGGTGGGTGTCCTGGGGGCTAGGCATCCTTGAGGATGATGGGTGTCCTTCGGAGTAGGCATCCGCAAAGGAGTGGATGTCCCTGGGGATGGGCATCCCTTGGGGATCAGCGTCCTTGGGGCTGGGCATCCCTTGGGATGGGTGTCCTTGGGAGTGGTCATCCCTTGGGACGGGCATCCCTGGGGGCCAGCTGACTGCCATTCCCTGCAGTGCTCCTTCCTGCCCAAGTTCTCCATCTACATCGAGACCAAGTACGAGGACAACTGCGGGGACAGCGAGAACGTGAGTCTGCGCTGCAGCTGAGACCTGGCAAACTCATCACGGGGACACAGTGCGTGGCCAGTGCCCCTCACCCTTCCTCCCCTCCCCAGATCTTCCACAGCGATAAAATCCTCGGTGACCACGAGGTCACCTTCCTGGACATCGCCTTCGACGAGATCCCCGAGCGTTACTACCGCAGCCTGGAGGTAGCACGGGTGGGGACAGGAGAAGCTCCCTGGTGCCACCTCCTTGTCCCCCATCCCATGGAGGGGGGGCTCACGGTCCCTCTCTGCCCCCTCCTCAGGACCCCCGTTTCTTCAGCTCGGCCAAGACGGGCCGGGGGGGCGCCAGCACACCAAGCCCATCATGTGCTCCTACAAGCTGGTGAGCGTCAAGTTCGAGGTGGGGGGGCGGCAGACACGGGGGGAGCAGTTTGTGCACAAGGTGAGGGGGGGCGAGAGGGTGACACTGGGGGGGGCAGTGACAGGGTGCTGACCCCCGCGGTGCATCGCAGGTGATCCGGGACATCCTGCTCATCGGGCACCGGCAGGCTTTCGCCTGGGTGGACGAGTGGTGCGGTGAGT